CACGCCGCCGGAGTGCCCCCCCCCCGCAGAATGCCGCGCCGCGCTGCCGCCCCGCCCCCCCAAGATTGGCCGCCCCTTACCAGGTGCCGCCCCAAGCATGTGCTTGGTTGCCTGGTGCCTGGAGCCGGCCCTGGTCTGACTTCCTGTATATCACAGGCCACCAGCACCACTCAGCACCCACACACTAAACCCAACAACCGAAATTAGACCAAAATAAACAGGAGTTAATGAGACTAATTACATGAGTACAATTATTCACTTGTGTAGAGTCCTTGCAGGATTGGGCTCACAGACTGTAAGGCCTCTGGGGAAGGAATTGTATATTCCGAGGTTTTTGTACAGCATCTAGCACATTTTTAAGTGTCTGATGTTTGTGAGACAGCTTCTAGACATTAAAATATTTGTAAGTGTTTCTCCCCATTTCTAATTTTTCTTTTTTAGGACTCACATAATTTAAGCACAGTAATATGAAATTACTTACCTTCGTTTTCTTTTACAAAGAAGTAGACCAATTACCAGAGTAGTGATCAAAGTCACCAAGAGAACAAGAGGAACAATGATTGCAATGCTTCCTGCAGCAAAGAAATAATGTTGAATACACTAGTTTAAGTCTAACAATTTCCAGACCAGGTAAAGTTGCTAAAAACAAAACTAAAAGGTATAGTTTAGTTTACCCTTCTAATAAGAGGACAGTGATTGGAAGGTTAAATATTGACAATGAAAAAGGCAACATAGGTGTTGTTACATATATTCTGAATGTTTTCATCCACGATACCTGCATTTCAAAACTCTGTGTTTGCTGTTTAGCAAACAAAGAAAAAATTGTTATAAACACTTTTGGATTACAGATACTGTTGTAATGAAAGTATCCCTTCAAGCCTATTATTATACTTTATGCACTCCCATTGTGAAGGTCACACATTTTCTTTAAAATTTCAACACATCCCTTGTAAAAAATTAAAATATTACAGGCAATATATTTTGTTTATATTTGTAAAAATGCTAAAGGCATTTAGTGCTCTGAGTAGCTCTCCCATATATTAAAAATCACAATATCAACAAAGAACTTCCCATTATACCCTTGAATTCTACCTGGAAGATTATTGAAAGCCAGGATAGATCACAGAGCATTAATTCAATGTATTTCGATTCAATGTATTTCTTGGGGACCATTCTGCACTAGCTTCAGCTTCTGTATGGCATTACAGCAATCTAATCTTGAGGAGCCAAAGGCATGGATAATTGTGGCAAGGTACATTGGAGAGAAAAGGCCATACTCATCTTCCCAGGCAGCTACTACCTTGGCTTCCAGGAGCAATGTAGGATCTAACACCACACTAGAGTTGAGCAACTGTTTTACAAAGGCATATACGCTCCCTCAGTAAGAGGTGCTGATATAAGTTCTACCAATTCTTCTTCCTCCAGCCAATTAGCATTATTTGTGTTGTCTAGACTGAGTTGCAGTCAGCTAGTTGCTCATTTAAATGGTGGACAATTTGTTCTACTGCTCCAGCTGGATTGGATGTAAAACTGGGTGTCACCCGCATACTGAAAACACTGCAGCTCATTTCTTCAATTTAAGGGCTTATCTATGTGACTATTTAGTTTGTGGGAAGCTGGGGAGTGAATCTACCCTGCAGTACACGTTAGCTTTCCACGTGGACCCGGCTGATGCTCATTAGCAGTTTGTTAGGGTGCTTTGATCTATGCCATTTGAAATGGGAGCAGATTAAAGTGCACTAACAAACTTTTGGACACAGCAGTAGGGTCTACATACCCTGTTTCCCCGAAAATAAGACAGTGTCTTATATTAATTTTTGCTCCCAAAGATGTGCTAGGTCTTATTTTCAGGGGAGGTCTTATTTTTCCTGGAGCTTCGGGGCCTTATATTCCGGGGTGGCCTTATTATTGGGGAGGTCTTATTTTCGGGGGGATGCCTTATATTACAGCGAGAGGCAAAACTGGAAGTAGGTCTTATTTTCGGGGGATGTCTTACTTTCGGGGAAACACGGTAGACAGTTAGCATGTGGCAGGCTAGTGTGGGGTAAATTAACACCCCTCCACACCTGCTGCAAACTAAATGTGCATGTAGACAAGCCCTCGAGTGCCAATATTATTGTAATACTGTTTTCTTCTATTTAATCTGCATGTGTATTAATTTTATTTAAAGGAACAATTCTCACTTGCAGGATTATTATCACGGTATGTAAATTACACCATTGTGCAGGGAGAACAAATGCAAAACCTGTGAACCACTTAAACCCTATTTTATGGCTTTAAGTGCGACTTCAGTGGTCATAAGTCTTGTGCTGAGTCTCTCCACAGGAATGAATTTCACCAAGCATTTGTCACTTGATACTGCTTTTTCTAAGAAAAATTCATGCTGGGTTTAAAGAAGTGGGTATATAAAGAATGCCATAGTTTGACAGTAATCCAAAATGTTTTATGTAGAACTGTATGTCAATCAAAGATCAGAAATAAGAGCAAAATCCTTGCCATTAAAAAAATGTAATCTGCAGCACATCACTTCATATGCTCACATACTAAAATATCACCAGTTTATCATTTTTAAATTTAACAATATTTTACAAGCTGTAGTAGTTAATCTGAAGCACTTACTTGTACTGATATTGTCAGACTTGCTGCTCTTGGGAGCTGGCCTCTCGCACTGCGTGCCTGACCAGTTGGCTGAACATCTAAAAGGATCCAATTAAGATGGTAAAATTAATGGATGACAGCTGTTAACACAGTAACCTATTAAAGAGACAACCTTCTCAAAAGGTACAAACAATAAGAGCCATTCTACAAAATGAACAAAAAGCTTTAGGTAAAGAGGTCCTCAGTATTCTGGCATGACATTGTGAACATTCTGCATAGCATTTTTACCGCGTTTTCTTCCTTCACTATTTTACAAACTGTAGGTTTGAATTGCAAACACTTATTATTATTATTATTATTGAATTTTTAAACATGCAGTCATTTTATGAAATTGTAAATGTTACACAATTATAATAAAAGCCAAACACAAATGTATGTAAAGATCTATTATACCAGTGACTATTAACATTAGCATTCATACTAATACGGAACTATTTTCATTTCATTTTTAGTAATATCTTTAGTATGTTATAACAGGACTTCCATACTTTGGTTTTATTCATTTCAGTATCATGCCACCAAATGCTGGAACTTTTGAAATAACTGATATAAATAACAATATTAATAATTGTTAAATTATATTATTTCTAGATGCACAGCCACCAAGAGACACAGATAAGTGGCTTTACAAAACAAAGCATTATTTGATTTCATACAATGCTCAACTGCAATTCTCTGACAGTTTTCCATATTTCCTTTTCAACGTGAATTGGTTAGTTGCATTTGGTAAGAACAGTAACCTAGTGTTGTGTCTGTTAGCTGACTGGGTCCCTGATCCAGCAAACCACTTAAGCATTCACTTGCTTCAAGAACCCGAGTAGTTCCACTGACTTCAATGGGACTACCTATGTTCTTTAAGTTAAACATGTGTTTAAGTGCTTTGCTGGATAGGGGCCTGGATGCACATGTAGGTCTTCTGCTGCAATTTGTGCAAATATAAAATATTGTTTCTTCAAATATTTGTTCGAGTTTTGACATTTGCTCTCCATGAATAATCAGAGAAACAAAGACGAAACTGCCACAAATATGGCTTCAGGAAATCCATTTAATATTGAAACAAATATATTCATGAAATCTGTTTGCACTATTTTCCCTGCTCTCCTTATAATGAAGTTTATGGCAGAATCGGAAAACTCTCTATACTGGATACTGCAGGAAAAAGAAACTTTTTAGCTGTCTCAAGTGCATGCTGTGTAATGGGCTCTCAAATATCTCCCATCAGCTTGGATGTATAACAAGTTAGAAGTAACTACATTTTACACATCACATTAATAACACAGAGTTTATGCAAAATGAAAAGATGACTTTAAATTCATTGTTCTAATATTTTTAAAGGGATTTTGATTTAAAGAGGTTAACTTTTCTACGCAATTCAGTTTACAGGCATTTAGTAGGGCAGACAAGAAAATATGTGTACCCTTCTGGAACATGGGTGTTCTAATATTGTAAAATCTGGTTATATTTGGCAAGTAGTTTGACATATTTCTACTTAATTGTTCTGAGGCTGATAAAATAAAATATTGTAGTTCATTAGCTCATTATCATCAATTTATCATTGTGCTATGTGGTGCTATGGTCAATTCATATGCTATTTCATATATAATCAAGGTATGCTAAATAGATTTAAATTGTAGGATTATAGAAGTATAAGATTGACAAGTATTTAAGAGTGATGAGTATATATTAGGTATATAAGTAAAGCATTGCTGGAATGTAAGACCTACTGGCTGAGGCCTGTAAGATTTTAGTTTAGCCATACTAGGCCATAGGCTTAAGAACGCTTGACATGAGTAGGTGACCTAGAAATAACCCTATGCCAGTAAGGTCACAAGATTACTGTAAAAAATGTGCCAATAGGTAATGCTACGAAAAACTACATTGCACTAAACAACAAGGTATTGTCCAAGATCATGAGACACCTGGTTGTAATAGCATGGAATGTCCTGTCCTGATGCAGGATACATGTTGTGCATAGATGCTAATGAGAATAAGAGGAACTAAACAACCTATGAAAAATTAGGCACCCCAAAATTCACAGAGTGTGGAAGTATAGATAAGGAAAAGAAGATTGAAATTCTCATGCATATGCATAAGGTGTAGGTGTGGTCAGAACCACAATATAAAAGAGGTTCCTTGGTTGGGTAAAAGTGGGAAGACCCCATTGGACAGCGCCATAAGAAACTCCATCAGGACCCACCCCTGTTTCAGTGATTGTCTATTGACGGGTTCATTGCCCCCTACAATATCATTGAGGATGTGAATGTGACTAGTCTTAGTCATAGCATGGTTTTTTTTGTAGGATTTCTATATGCATGGGTAATCGTAACTTTACTTATTGCTTTAATAAAACTTGTAGTACAGATAAGACTTTGTACTTGTGATTGTGTCTGCAGTCATTATCCTTGGACTTTGTGTATTCCTGGAGTCTCCAAATTTGAGAAAAGCACCAAAGGTGATTTTCACACTGTTGAGCTTGAAATTGTAGCCACGGGAACTGAACCCATGGTAATTTTTAATACAAAATTACTTAATGCAATCTAAATAATGGTAGATACGAGATTACTCACTATGTATAGATGGAATATAAAAATCCACTAATCTTTGGTGTTAACCCAAAAAAGGTGTCCCAATTTGCCTCTGAGATTTGTGTTTTCAGTGAACAGCCTTGCAAATATCCTTTAAAAGGTGATTCAGTAAAACAATTGATTTTTATAGCCTTATAAAATCATTCATAAATTTTAACATTATTATAATAAAATATTCATTACAGATTAATACTGTAATATTTTAAAAATATTTTTGAACTGTTTATAAATATAAGCATAAATTAAATGTATTAAAATATAATGAGGAATTTGGCTTATAACCATTAACTTGAGTACTACTTTAAGAACTGTTTTCCCTTCACCAACCATTGCTATATGCTACTTACTGAGAATTAAATATAAAGATAAAATTCTCAGTTACCAGTGTGTTAAAGACTAATTTAACCAACTTGCCCAGTAATATTGGCCCATGATACTAAAATACTTTGGAAAAGTACAAAATACATTGGGTCAAATTGTGCAGAAGCCCAGGAGCACAATTGGGTGTGCTAACTTGCCTCTTTAGCACTGAGGGAATTAGCAGCATTTTGTCTTTGTGCGTTCACTGGGGAGAACGCAATATCCTCCTGTTCCTTTTCCCCACCCCAGAACATAGGGCACCTGCATAGTGCAATTCAAAATTTAGGGCTATCGTTTTAAAGTGTTTCACACACTAAGATAAAAAATTAAGCTGATCATGATTTTTACTCCACTACAACATGTTCTACAGATGCAGCCTCTAGACTGGTTGCACAGATGGTATTTATTAACACGTTCATTAATTTGTTAATTAATGCTTCAAAAACCTTTCGCACAATGGAAAAGGTGTAACATGCTGGTAGTTATGGCTCTGGTTTGACCTCACAGTTAAAAATGGTCATAACATATTTAAAGTTCTTGCCTTCAGGGAAAGGGTCAGTTGAATTAACATCAGAAAATAGTCTGCACAGTAATGTATGCAATTAATTTTAAAACTCAAATCAACTAGTATTTTCATTATTGTTTGCCATCATCTTAGCATATTCTAAAAGCACACAATACTTTATGACTCTATCATAAAAGAGATGTACGCTCCTTTTTCTTTGCATTTGTGTCATTCTTTATAAATCCCCTTTTGAGCCATTATATCAAATGGAAATTATTCTTCTTCTAGCCTAACTTACAAAATTACTGCTTATGTGTTTGCCACGTCACAGGATCACCTTTCAATGCATGATTACAAATTAAGTATTTCTAGTCTCTTTACAGAAACATAAATCTTCATAGTTTATTTATGCTGCAACAATCAGAACTGTTATCTTCAGACAATCTTAGAATGAAAGTCTTTGTACTTCTTACCAATGGTTTTGCAACATTTCTGCATTTCTGTTGAGGAATACTACAGCATGTGGTTTAAACTTGCTGAGATGCAATTTTTGAAAGGCTACAGCTGGCTCTGACTACAATATTTGAAGGGAAAAGATTTCTTTAATAGTTGGACAGAGACTCAAATTGGTGCCCAGCTCCTTAGAATGGGAATCTCAAATGTCTCTGTTTTGGAAATGGGACCATTTGAAAATTAACCCTGAAAATGTGGCCTTAAGGGATGTGACAAGCTGGAAAAGGAAATAGAATTAGTGAAGATTCACTATCAAGACATGAAAGTGAAATATTACAGGAAACTTTTGCAAGAATGTATGGGCCTCAGAAAATCTCCCAAAGAGTCACTAATCACTGAGACATTGCAGTTATTGTCTGTACTAAATATAGCGATATACTGCTATATCTCAGATCAGTGTGATAATTGCTGATCTGTGTTGACTTTTCAATGTTGAGGAAAATGGCACTGATTTATCAAGACACAGATTAAGAAAGCTTTTAACTAGCTTTCTTGGATGTAAGGTACTCTTAAGGAAAATGCTGCACAGTAGGAACAATCATTGGATTCATAATTCTCCTTGAGGTACAGATGATAGCAAATGTGTTGATCAGTAACAGACATTTTGGTACTACGAAAGACATAATGCTTATACCCAGATTGCTTGATATCTAACATGGGTATTGGGTTTATTTGGAGCAATTCTCCAGAGCTTCTGACTGGACAAATAAGGGGGCACGAAAAGAAGTGGGACCTACCGGACCACATAATGCCATAGGGCCTAACATTAATATTTTGAATGAGCAAGAATTATCAAGACAGATAGTGACAGTACCTAACTAGACCCACAAACAAACAAATACAGCTTGAAAGTGATGACGAGCCTGAGAGTTAAAGGCTCTAGAGTGGGATTAGGGCTGTGGGTGCTGCTCTTTGCAAACCTCTTTGCAAGTCCAAATGTTCAGTTCCATGACAGAGTATACACACAGCCCCAACAGCTACTACTTCTCACAGGGTTCCAGCCGATGTGCTGAGAGTGCATGCATTTTTTTGCTTTGAGTCACACATTGATATGCATTATCAAACAATTGAAAAG